TTTGAAATCTTCTGTTCAGCTCTTTTCCCTTGTCAATTCTTCCATTTGCTTTAGCTACTCTCCGTTCAAGGGCAAGTTTCAGAGTCTCTTCTGTCATCCATTTGTGTTTTTCTTCCTTTTCTGTCTTTTAAGTGACCTTTTCCTTTCTTTATGAATGATGCTCTTGATGTCATCTCACAATTCCTCTGGATTTTAGTCACTCGTGTTCAGTGCATCAAATCTATTCTTTACATGGTCTCTAAATTCAAGAGGGATGTAATCAAGGTCATATTTTGGCTCTCGTTGACTCGTTTTAATTGTCTTTGGCTTCAACTTGAATTTGCATATGAGCAATTGATGGTCTGTTCCACAGTCAGCTCCTGGCCTTGTTTTGGCTGAAGATATTGGGCTTCTCCATTGCCTCTTTCCACAGATATAGTCGATCTGATTCCTGTATACTCCATCTGGTGAAGTCCACATGTATAGCTGTCGCTTACGTTGCTGAAAAAAGGTATTTGCAATGAATAAGTCATTGGTCTTGTAAAATTCTATCATGTGATCTCCAGGGTTATTTCTATCACCAATGCCATATTTTCCAAGTACTGGAGATTCTTCTTTGTTTCCAAATTTTTCAGTCCAATCACCAATGATAACCAACACATCTTGATTGCATGCTTGGTCAATTTCAGGCTGTAGAAGTTTATAAAAACCTTCTATTCCCTCATCTTTGGCTTTGGTGGTTGGTGGGTAAATTTGAATAAGAGTAGTACTAACTGGTCCTCCTTGTAGGTGTATGTATATTATCTTATCACTGACAGCACTGTACTTCAGGATAGATCTTGAAACATTCTTTGTGATGATGAATGCCACACCATTCCTCTTCAATATGCTATTTCTGGCATAGTAGATCATAAGGTTGTCTGATTCAAAATGGCCAAAACCAGTCCATTTCAGCTCACTAATGCCTAGGATATTGATATTTATATGTTCCATTTCGACAACTTCCAATTTTCCTAGATTCATACTTCGTACATTCCATGTTCCAATTATTAACGGATGTCTGCAGCTGTTTCTTCCCATTTTGAATCATGCCACATCAGCATATGGAGGTCCTGAAATCTGTACTCCATCCACATCATTAAGGCCAGCTCTACTCTGAGGAGATAGCTCTTCTCCAATCGTATTCTGAGTGCCTTCCAACCTTTGGGGCTCATCTGGCACTGTATCAGACAATGTTTCAGGGCTATTCATAAAGTTTTGCAGTAATATATTAGACAGTGTTTCACTGCTATTCATAAGGTTTTCACTACCCAGTTCTTTGAGAAGTGCATGGCCCCTTCCTTTTCCGAGTCTGTCTTAGTTTGAAAGTTCCACTGAAATATGTCCACCATGGGTGACCCTGCTGGTATTTGAAATACTGGTGGGATAGCCTCCAGGCTCACAGCAAAAGGTAAGCCACCATAGTACAACAAACTGACAAATGAGTGGTGGCTTTTGAGGTTAAGTAGCTATATTTGGAACAAAACAGGTCAACATTACATTATGTGATTGTGAACATGGGAGTTAATGGTAGGAGAATGAAAGAAGTGAAATAAAAACATCCAGGGCCCAAGCAACAAGAACTGAATAGAGGCTCTGGTGTGTCCTCTGCCAGTTTAGCATGGTCTGGTTAAGTACTCACAGAAAACTTACACCCCTTTCTTCTTCTTTTTTTAGTATTTTTATTGTAGTATGCACCAACACTAATGTCAAAGGAGAAGAAATTGAAGATTTTTACCCGCTTCGACAGTCTGAAATTGATCAAATATGCAATCAAGATGCATTGATAATTACTGGTGATTGAAATAAGAAACTTGGAAACAAAGAAGAATGATCTGTAGTTGGAAAATATTAGTTTGGTGACAGAAATGACACCAGATATTACATGATAGAGTTTTGCAAGAACAACAACTTATTCATTGCAAATACCTTTTTTTCAACAATATAAATGGTGACTATACACATGAACTTCATTGGATGGAATGCACAGAAATAAAATTGTCTATCTGTGGAAAGAGATGATAGTGAAGCTCAATATCATCAGTTAGAATAAAGCAGGGACTGACTGTGGAACTTGCTCATATGCAAGTTCGAAAAAAAAACCCAAAAAACTCACTGCCATCAAAGTCGGATCCGACTCATAGCAGCCCCTCCTTGGGTTTCTGAGGCTGTATCACTACGGAAATAGATTGCTCAATCTTCCTTCTGAGGAGTGGCTGGTGGGTTTGAACCGCCAACCTTCTAGTTAGCAGTCAAATGCC